TGGCAATCCCTGCTGTTACAATGGCTGTCTACCAGGAACCCCCACCCATCACTGTTCCCCAACTCTCATCTTGATTCAGACAGAATCAGTCAAGCCATCAGGTCCTTAGACTCCTTTCTTCTTGGAGCCTTTTAGAAGGCAAGGCCTCCGCATGCCTGCCCCAACTGCTGAGGTCTGTGCACAGCAGGTGTGTGGGCCACTGTGAACACAATACTGGGGTGCTCCTGGATAGCACGCTTCCTAGTTGATGTGAAAAACCTCAAGGGGGGGAGCACCCCTACCTGGCACAGGGAAAGACCTAGTCCCAGCCCTGGCGATCCCAGCCAAGTGCCTCTGGGGAGCCCTTCCACCTCTGGGTCTCAACTTCTCTATCTGTGAAGGAGGATGACACACCTGCCCTGCTCCCTTCACAACTGGGGTGTTGTCAGGAGCAAATGTCATAATGTTCACAAAAGGGTTTTGAAAGCATAAACACTAAGCAGAAGTTAAAGGTTGCTGGGAGTCAGTCTATCTTGTTTCCTGATCCCTAGTTGGGTCATAACTCACGCAGCCTTGGATAAGCTGGGATGTCTTATTTCTAAAGCTGCCCAGGGACGGGCATTCCATAAACTCCAGGTTTCCAGTCTGAGGCAAAGGTGACCTGGGCACAACGGAGGTCTTCCCTCAGACCACTCCCCCAGAGGCCCTCCCTAGCCCTCAGAACCCCAGAGTCCTCAAGTCTGCCCTAGGCCCTGGGCATCAGAGGTACACAGAAAGATGGACAAGTCCTTGTTCCAACAAACCTGGGAACCTGGATTCTGGTCGTTTCCCAGCCCCCCTGGGGAGTCACTCACGCTGTCATCCACCAGGTAGGCATTGATGAAGTGGGCCAGCAGGTTACAGCCCCACAAGAAAACCACATCTCCCAGGAGGTGAGGGATTAAGCCACTAGAAAACAAGGTGAGCAAAGATGAGCCAGGGTGGGAGGAGAGCATTTCCTGGGGGCTCTACCCCAGGAAGCAGCAGGGATGTTCCAAGCTCCAAAGTCAGCACATCCAAGCCTCAGGCAGGAAGCCCGCAGGGCCACGGGGGCCAGCGGCTATGCACACAGGAGGGCTCCTTTCTCCAGGGCTGGGGGTTATGTGCTCCGTCTGATACCAGATTAGCTTCCGGTTTCACAAGCGTTTTCAAACCACAGAAGCTGGGCCTCAAGATGTGAATGTTACTAAATCTGGGATTTTCAATACAGATTATGAAAGAGTGCCTATATGTTGGTAGTTTTCTCCTGGCCTTGATACCTAACCAACTCTCACAAAACACTGCTGAATGCATGCTGTCTTCCCCCGGAATGTTCACAAGCAGGCAAACTTCACAAGCTTTTAAAGTGACGGCCTCGGAGATGAGCAGAGAGGAGGCTCCCTCCAGATACAGCACTGAGGATCGGGGGTCCTGCGTGTGCGGGTGGTTTTAATGTGCTTATTTAGATATGTTTGTTTAGATATGGAGTGACTTGAAAAGATTTCCAGAAAAATGGCTATCTCTTGGGAGGGGAAGTAGAATTATGATTTTTGAGTTTTTAAAAATCGTATCTCAAAATACTTCAAAAGTTCACAAGAATTAGATGCAACACATCTATGTTAAGAGGGATATTAACAAAATGAACCTCCTGAATGCAATGTCTAATCCTGCTGCTTCCACCTGTGCTCAGGTGGCCTCTCCACACGTCCCCTTTGGTGCGTTCTGAGAATTGTAACATCTACGTGTGTCACCTATTCCACACCCTCGTGAAGATGAGGAGAACCCAAAGGTTAAGTGACCAACAGGAGTCTTAGTCACACACCAGAATAACACTATACAATGAGTGTGGAAAACACCAGAAGTGCCCTAGCTGGTTTGGCTCAGTGGATAAAGTGTCAGCCTGCAAACTGACCAGGTTCGATTCTGGTCAAGGGCACATGCCAGGTGTGGGCTCGATCCCCAGTAGGGGGTGTGCAGGAGGCAGCCAATCAATGATTCTGTCTCATCATTGATGTTTCTATCTCTCTCTCTCTCTCTCCCTTCCTCTCTGAAATCAATAAAAATATATTTTAAAAAAACCAAAACGCCAGAGGTGGTGATGTGTAGTGTTTTAAAGTCTGATATACCAGTCACGTGGGCAAATATTTACTCATATATTTGCTCGTGTATATGCCTATATGCATGGGTGTATATATAAAAATATGTGTGTGTACGTAAGTCAAAGTTTGGCACTATCGACATTTAGGGCTGAATAAGCCTTCGTGTGGCTGCCCTCTGCATCGCAGGATGTTTACAATAGCCCTGGCCTCTACTGGATACCAGCTGTGACAACAAAAGATATCTCCAGGCAGTACCAACGTCCCTGGGGGCAAACATCACCTCCTGATGAGACACACACCTACACACATGCGCACACGCGGAGTTGTTTCTTGGTTACCTTAGATCATAAATAAAAACACCTGACCAACTATACAACCACAATATGAGTAAATAGAGAGCCCATATTTAGTACATACATGTCACTCACTGCCTAGACCTTAAAAGGCAGAACAGATGACACTTGTCAGGCCCGGCTTTGGGGCTCCATCTATGGATTATTCTGTCTGAACAGAGTCTTTTTGGTATGCTTTCTTTACAGGTAAAGTAAGGTGGGTGTGAGACACAAGGAAGGCAGAGGGTCTGTGGTCCTTGGGAGCACGTGTGCCCTGCTGGCAGGTGCTCTGCACAAACACAGGCCGAGCAGGGCCAGGTTTAGAAACAGGAATTGTTACGTGAAATTCCCTACATGTCAGACGTGAAGAACTCAGAAATGCTATCACTGAATGCTAATGCTGTCAGTGTTCGGTCCTCAGTCCATGGCACAGATTGTCAGTCATTTTTCAGCAAAGAAACCAAGGACGATAGAGTGCCCTGGCTCATGCTCAGCCCCATGCCCACCCCCAGCCCTGGCAAATGGACAGGGCCTGGGTGGCCAGTGCAGTCAGCACTGAACAAACAGTACCGTCTCTGTGTGGGCCGGGTCTGGACAAGCCTGCACAGCTCTGGTCTGGACGATCTGTAGCTCGAACGCGCTGTGAAGTGCAGCTACTCAGACGGGAGCGGGGCCTGGGGTTAGACTGAGGCCAGCAGCTGCGGCCTGAGAGGCTGAGTGAGCCTTTTAGCAGAGCCATGCCCGTGGGCAGCTTTGGAGATATAAACTCACGTACACAAAGAATCCCAGAAACCCCTCCTCTTTGAAAATCTTCCCAATGGAGCTCAGCACGCCACTGTAAAGAAAGCAAGACGGGGCTAGAGGTCACTCAGTCACCTGAAGAAGCCCATTCCTCTACCCTCCACCCTCCCCACCGCTGCTCAGAGCCATCGACTCCTGGCCGGGACGGGCAGGGGAGATTCTGTTTCCAGGCAGAACCCAGTGAAGATGACAGAGCTCTTGCTTGGGGGCACTTACCCAGTTCAGAGACTGGAGAAACCCTACCAGCACTGGGGCAGAACTCAGCAGTTAGCAACCACTGTTTCTGTGGGTCTGGAATTTAGGACTAAACCGTCCAGCCTGGGCTACGGCACCACGATGGGCACTTCTGCCTGGCCCTAGACTTATCTCTGGCTGAACAACCTTTCGGTAGAGAAGCAGATGGAGTGGCAAGTGGCGAGAATTACCTTCCCAGAAGGCAGAGGAGAAACACAGGGCCCTGCAGCAGACCGCCCAGAGGCAGCCTGGGAGGCATCTGGCCCTCCCCAGCAAGGAGCCTGGGGACCAGCACTCATCATGGCCTGTAGGAGACCAGAGGAGCTTCTAGGTGTGAAATGGAAAGCAGGCTCAAGAGCAACCCCTGTGACCTTGGCCAGCAATGCCAAGTGGCCGGGCCTCAGGCGGCAGTGGCCCAGGAGAAAAAGGGATGGTGGGAGCCAAAGCCTTGGCTAGTGCTGGTTCCAGGGCACGGGCCCTGCCAGGCCCCACTATCTTTCTCCTCAGAACAGTGGCACGACCACGCCTGGTCCCATCTGCCAAGCTCACATTTCAGTCTAGGGCAGTGGTCAGCAAACTGCGGTTCAGCAAACCACGGCTCGCAAGCCATATGCGGCTCTTTGGCCCCTTCAGTGTGGCTCTTCCACAAAATACCGACTTCTGCACATGGGCCACAAAGTTTCGATCGCACTGTACATACGCGCCCGCACGTGGTATTTGTGGAACTGCCACACTCAAGGGGCCAAAGAGCTGCATGTGGCTCACGAGCCGCGGTTTGCAGACCACAGGTCTAGGGGAATGGGCCAATTTCCCACTAGTGAACCCAAAATGAGGCCCCATAGCAGCCAAGCTTCCTGGGGCTGTGACCCCACAGAACAGCAGCAGAAATCAACGGAACCCAGGAAACAAGAATTAGAGAGGGTAACAGAGGCGTGTCCTCCTGTCACAGGCCTCCAGGATCTGCCTCCTGTCCTGATTGAGCCTCTGAGGGGCAGGGAAGGATAATGACGGAGGGAAGGGCTGTGTCAGCACACCTCTGCCCCAGCCCCCTGCGAAGTGCAGCACGCAGATGCGAAGTGAACACTTGGTAATCAGCTGCAGTGGACAGAGGAGGAAATGAGCTGTGAGCAGATGCTAGGACAGTAGAGAAACCCTTAGGACATAACCTAGGGGGCAGGAGGAAACCCTGGCTCAGTCCTTAGTGCAGAATCAGCTCTGGTGCCAGGACTCCTAATCCAAACCAACTCCACGCCCACACACCTCTCTGCAGGGCACCCAGGCCCGTCCCGGGCAGCCTGGACAAGAGACACAGAGAAAAGGCCCCTGGACACAGACTATGGAGGCCACTACCAAGTTCCCCTGAAGTCAGCACATTAGAGCCACGGCAGAGAAGGGGCAGTGACTGGCCCAGCATGGCCTGTCCTCATAGACTCGGAATGGGGACTGGAATGGCCATGCCTCTCAGTCCCAAGAAGAATTACCCACCTGTACTTGGCCTCCCGTCCCACAAACTGAACCATGCAGCGCATTGAGATGACTGAGGAAAGAGAAAACACACAGAGGTGACATGACGCAAACACACAGAGCCCAGGACAGCCAGCTGTGGGTGCCCACTGGAGTGGCCCCTGCACATCATGGCCTGGGTCACAGAGCGGGGGGCTTCCCAGCACACCCCATGGCCACGACACCCCATCATCTACCTGGGAAGAGCCCCAGCTCCCTCTAGACAGGACTCCCGGCCAATCTCTCCTCAGTGGGGTTGCAACGCAATACCCCCACCTCACCGCCCTTCCCCGTAAGTCTACCGCCGCCCAGGTACAGTCCATGAGGGCCATCCCATTCCACGCTGTGGTCTCCAGTGGGGCAGCTCACCATGCAGGGGGTGGGCCAGCATGCGAGACACGCACTGCATCATCATCTCATAGGAGGTCTGCAAGAGGGCAGAGGGGGTCAGGGGAACCCTGGCAACCACTCAGTCCAGCCTGCCTCTGGAACTGGCACTTCTGGGGAGCTAAGAGCTCATATGGGGCACAACCTGAGATCCTGCAGCCCCCACATGGGGTCAGTCTACCTCAGGTGGCCCCACTTGTTGCCCACCTCCAATGCCCACCACCCAGGAGTGCTGCTGGGTCCCAGGCCAGGCCCCACAGCAGCTGAAGGCTTTCTGGAGCTCCCTGCAGTATCCACACCAGGCCTTCCACGTCGCCCCTCCCATGCAAGCACGAGGACCCAACTCTGAGCCTCTTCAAAGACCTGCCCAACTCAACGGTGAGAAATAACCCCACTCCTCTCCCAGGGCCTCTTCCTCTCCAATTCCAACACCCACCTCCTTCACCACCTTCCTCAGAGAGGTCTTCATGTCATCCTTGTTGGACACCTGCTCGATCTCATCCGGAGGGAAAACCTGAGACAAAACACGAAGGAGGGCCAAGCAAATTACAGAGCCTCTTACTGTAACTCGTGGGGCAAAGCGGCACGAAGCAGCTCCTACCACTTTCTCTGCAGTGACACTGGCTGGGCCAGCAGCCTCAGGTAACCCCCAGGGCTGGGGCCTGGTGTCACAGCCATGGGAAAGCGGGAAGACTGTGGGGCAGGAACCCTCCCGACCAACGAGTGTCAGTGTGGGGCCACCAGGGTTTGGAGCCTGGCTATGGTGCTGGGGTGGAGGATGGCAGCTGGAGCAGTGCACATGGCTGCCTCTGGGGTGGCCGGGAGCCCAGGGGAACCTTGGCAACTGCTGCTGACTTCAACGGGCCTCACCTTCTTCATGCTGCCCCGGGTCACGGTAGAGAGGGCGTTGGACATCAGTCGGGGGCTTAGGCCTCGGAACAGCCCGATCTTCCCATCCACGTGCACAATGTACTTGGCTACAAGGAAGCAGGGGTGGCAGTGTCACGCCAGCCCAGACACCCACTCCCAAGTCATAGTCACGGAGGGGAGGGCCGTCCAGGACCCTGGAAGCGATCAGGCCCCACCAATTTCTTCTCTAGCCCATTCCTTTGTGTAAAAGCCTTCAAAACATATTTCTGACAAACAAGTTCACATATTTCCTTTTTTAGCTTTGACAAATCTACTTGGCAAACTCAGCTCTAGTTTTCAACTCAGCAACTTCAGTGCTGCAACCCAGAAACCAGTTCTGTTACTCATTAAAAAATGTTTTTCTCAGGGGGAAGGAGGTAGAGTTCCCAGAGACAACAATAAAGTGTGCAACCCAAGGGAAGAAAAAAGAAAAAGGACGGGCTCCCAGAAGAGGCTCAAGAGTGTCTGCCGAGCATGCCCGGGGACCCCACCTGGAACCTGGTGGCATTTATTAATCAAGATGTGGGGAGGACATGCAAGTGGAGAAGTAACCAAAACAGAGGCATCAATGAACTATTTTACAGAAAAAACACCAGCAGTCAGGGAGCTAGAGCCCACCTGTGAGTCCTGCTTCTTCACTGGGGTCTCTGAAAGGATCGCTTTTTAAATGTTTTGTTGTTTTCTTTAACATCAACTTTTAAACTATGTTCAAAAAGCCGCTGTACTTTTACAAAGCTGAATACTTGGAAGCTGGCAGAGGATCTCAGACAATGCTCCCCTCAGACCCACGACTTCAGCTCTCTGGTGCCGCACAGTGGCAGGAACCGGCTTGTCCGGCTTTTCTCTGCAACACATCTGCCACCCAGCAGGCCACTGCCACTGCCACTGCCACTGCCACTGCTTCCCGGGCTGCAGCACCTGTTACCTGCACACTTGCTTCCTGAGATGGGGAGGGCTGGGGAAAGGGGGCGGGGAGGGGAGGACACAGGCGCCTGGCTTCAGAGTGGGCAGAAGGAAGGTTTGTTTTGGGGGAGGGGAGCGCCAGTCAGTAAGAGGGAGGGGGGCAGGGTAAACCAGTGTGATCTCCAGTGAGGCACTCAACCTCTTTCTATTCACCGGCCCACAGCAAAAAAGGAGTTAGGGACCCCTACTTCCCCCACCGCTGAGATGAAGAATGAACAAGTGAGAGCAGAGAAAGGCTCGTAAAAATGCCCAGAGGCCATGCTGGGCCCAAAGCCCTGCCCCTTCTCTTCCCCGAGGGGCCAGGGTCTCTCTGGTTGCAGGGGTTCTGCAGTCCCTGAACTCTCTCCAGGAAGTTCTTTGCCTCACACCTTCACCCATTACACCTTCACCAGGACAGGGGGAGTAGATGCTGTCCAGGCAGCTCTAGGCATCCACGTAGCCGAGCCCTCTCCCCATGGGAGAGCAGTGTGGTGTCTGGAAACACCCATGGGCACCTGCTACAACGCCCGGATGAAAACACCATTCATGTAAACTGGGGTGGGGAGCTCATCTTTGCAAGAGGCGGTAAAGTGAGTCCAGACCCCTCTCCTGAGTCCTTTCGGGAATGACTGCGAGGTGAACAAAGCCGGTCTGGGCTCTACCTCTCGTCCCTCGCATGGCTGGGGGGTGCCTAGCCATCAGAGACACCCCAGGGAGGGGCTGGCAGCCCACACCCCCGCTTCCCACAGACCCAGTGTTGACTGGGCCACCAGCCTCACTGTACTTCAGTGAGGTGCCTTCCTCATTCTGATCTCCCCTCCCCCACACTGACAATCTTTAAGTAAAAACAAATAAGAACACATTTCCCCACAAAATGACACGTTCTGACTGGCCCCAGACTGTGCCCAGCACCATGGCGGCAAGACTGAAAGAGAAACGTGACCTCAGATTCTGCCAGCAGTGTATGAAGTGAAACAAAGGGGACAGGAGGCGAAGCCCCAAGTTATTCGGTAGAAACAAAGGTTTTTAGAGAACATTCTGGAATGACCAAACAGATAAGAGCAGAGGTGGCAGAGGCATAAGGGGATCAGGCTGACTGTGAACTTAGGCAACAAGGGCACATTTTAACAAAGTCCCCAGCATGATCACCCTGTGAGGGTGGGGACTGGGAGAGGGGCAGCTGGTGGACTTGAAAAGATCTTGGGCAGCTGGGGAGGGGTGTGTGAAGGGCCAGGCATGAAGATTCTGGTGCCACTCTGCAGAGGAATGCAGGTCAGGGCAGTGAGGCTGCCTGTCCCAGCTCACCCGGCTGGTCAGGGCACACCACAGGTAAAGCCATTCACCATGCACTGGTCTATACCCAGTGGGTGGAGATGCCAGAATGAGTTAGCTCCATGCCCGGGGAACACAAAGGAAAGAGGACGAAGAAAGAAGAAAAAGAACCTGGCCTCCTGCTACAGTAGCAGGAAAGCAGAAAAGCTAGTAACAGGGCCGACTGCTCAGAGGGCAAAAGGACACCTCACTGTCCCGTCTCCCCCCCCCCCCCCCCCCCCCCCCCCCCCCCCCCCCCCGCCATTCCAGGCACAACCTGGGGGCAGGGATGACAGGGACCAGTGTCTTGACTGTCTCCTCCCTTGAACACCTGTCTGCCCCTCCCCCCCTCCTGGCCTGCTGCCAGGTAGAGGAGCTGGACCAAAGCTGTATGATTCACCTGGTCTCACCCCAATACCCTGCTGCCTCCGGCCACACTCTGGGATCCCCCCCCCCACGCCAGCTCTGACTCTGGGTGCCATGCTGCCCATGTGTTCCCCAGGGCCAGCTGGGCCTGCTCCCCATTGGATGCTGCTTTTGTGTCGGTGTGGGCGTTCCTGCCCAGGAAGCACACTCACCGTAGGTGAAGAAGCTCGGCAGATAGAGGACCTTCCTCCCCAGCACATTGGTCCCAACGGTGGGGGGCATCGGCTCATGGCCCACCTTCAGAATCAACAAACACAAAAGGCAGGTCAGATTCCACTGCTGACTCAGCCTCACTGCTTCTCGTCTTCCCAGGCCTCTAACTCTTTCCCCACAAATTCTAATGCTGTTCCTGTCGATGTTTTCCCCATCAAAACATAAAAGAAATTTCATGTGTCTATAACCATCAGGATCCTGAATCTCCCAATGACCAGAAATGTCTGGTCCCAGATACCACCCTACCACTATCCAAGTCACCCCCACCCGCCAACAGTGTTACCTCCAAATTCCAGATATCCCCAGGACAAAATCCCCGATTTTTATATACTTTGAATCCCATGCTCATCTCAGAATAAACCTGTTTATTGTCATCTCCAGGTTAAAAACTTCAGTCGTCTCAATTATAAATGTGGTTGACACCAAAACACAGCACATCCAAATCTCATCCCAAACTTCAGACAGCTCAGCCCCAAGCAGCCCATTCTAAAGGTCACCCACAACTCGCATTTCTTACCGCACCCACAGAAGATGCCAACAGATCTGTTCCTCTCACTCTCAGGCAGAGCAGACTGCCACCTCAAATCCCAGCTGCTCCTCAAACAATTCCTCGACTGTTTTCTAATCGCAGCCACCCGTATCCTTGTGACAGAATGTCCCCGCATTTCTGTGGGGCTATGGTCACTTTTGCTGTGTAGATGCTGTTAGGTGTGTTAACCTCATGTGGGTGAAGGACCAAGCCACCCACACCCCGTGAGGAAGTGGGGTCTCTGAGGGGTGAGGTTGTTTGCTACGCTGCCAATTGAGGAGAAAGACTCTGCTGCCAGGCAGGAGGCAGGGTGTCTGGGAGACCAGCACCTAAGTGGGGTGTGAGAAGTCTCCTTCCTTGACAGGGGGCTGGGACAGCAGCCCTGTCCCTCAAAGCAGGCCAACTGAGCCCATGGACCAGTGAACCAGAGCAGCAACTTTTTCCCCCCCAAATAAATATATTTTTATTGATTTCAGAGAGGGAGAGATATAGAAACATCAATGATGAAAGAGAATCATTGATCAGCTGCCTCCTGTACACCCCTAACTGGGGATCAAGCCTGCAACCCGGGGATGTGCCCTGACCGGGAATCGAACTGTGACCTCCTGGTTCATAGGTCAACACTCAACCACTGAGCCACGCCACCAGGCAGAGCAGCAACTCCTGAAATGTGGAAAGCAGAAACGGTAGGGTTGGGAGCTCTGCCTTAAAAACTGAACGAGGTAAGCTTCTAGTGCTTTCCTGGGTCAGTTCCCTTTCTTCTTTGCCTTAGGGGTTTTGACAGTTCACGCTGTCCCTTGTGGATGGGATTCTGAGCTACATGACATATTACTGATTGTAAAATAAGAAAGCTTCTCTGGATGAGGACCTTCTTTAAAAAAAGTCTATCCCAGGGGAGCTGGAGAACAGGGATGAGCCAGCTGACCTAGGCAGTTAACCCTCCCACACATTCCCTTGTGGGTTCAAAGCCGAAAGGTTCTGAGTTTTGTTTTTTCCTTACACAGGTAACATTCCCTTTATCCTCTCTACTCCAAGTCTCAGCTATGCTCTTCTGCTGTCTTATCCAGTCTAGTCACAACAATTTGGGAGTCCCATTGATTCCAATTTCATCCCTAAATCTGCTGTGTCCCTTCGCCTCATGCCCCCATAGCTTCCAAATCTACTGAGTCTATATCTGTAACTTCCACCTGGGTTATCAAAGGCACACTGCCATATGTCACCCTTATTCTCCTTGCCCTCAAAATTTCATTATTTGAGCCCAAGTCATACTTACCCAATTTCATCCCCAATTCCATGAACCCATCCAGAGCTGTGGCTCTGTATCAGATTCTGGCAGAGTTAGTCCATCCCCTTCAATCTCCAAATCCTGAAACCTAACACCCACCAGCCCTGATCTTAGGCACTGCATTCTTATGTACCCCAAATCTGCCACTCCAAGCCTGTTACCCCCAAAACTGGTATCTACCTTTTACAAAATATTACTGATTCCTGAGCTATGCCCATTAAAACTTCACCCCAAAGTATGCTATACTCAGGACCAGCTGAGTTCAAATTGGATAGGCCACCTCCCCACCATCCAGTTCTTCTAACCGGTTAGCCTCCCTTCACTCCCCAATTCCTTTCTCCCTCATTCCCAATTCTCTCTTCAAATCACCCTTACTTCAACTTCTTCTCAAACCTGTAAACCAAATCTACAATGGTCCAAATGATGAAGCTACTCCCCACTTCCTTTCCATGGAGCCCCCTATTCCTACACTCCAGCATCCTCCACTCCACAGATCCTCTTATCTGCCACCCTAAAACCCCAGCCCTCACCAATCTCACCCCAGCAGCCAAAACCCAGCCCCCAGTACCCTTACTTCACATCTCAGGTACGATGTTACAGTCAGGTCCTACCCTCCAAATCTATTACCCCATTCCCTTTATCCCCTCTACTCCAAGCCTGATTTCAATTATTCCCACTCAAGTCCCTCTTATTCCAATGGTATCTCTCACTGTCAGAACAATTATAAAGACAGTAAATCTGACACCCATTCACCTCAACTCAAATCAAACCTCAAATTCAAATCTTGGTTGGGTCTCCATCTCAATTTTTCTCCCCCCCCCCCCCCAACCCACTCTTCTTAACTGGAAAATTCTAGGCTAAATCTTCAGGCCTGAACCACCCCCATCTAAACAGTGCCCATCTCTCAGTCACCCCCACCTAATTCGGCCAAATATGCACCCCTCCACCCTGCCTCCTTCCAACTCAATCCCTCCCTTTCTCAAGGAGCCTGCTTCCTCTGCAAGGCATTGCTGGCCGGCGCCTGCATACCCAGTGCACCTGCAGGCACGGTGCCAGACATCCCTACCTCGGCCTCAGCTTCTGCCAGTCTCTCTATCCTGTCACCTTATGTCCCAACGACCCTTTATGCCCCACCCCCCGAGTTACGAGGACTGAGTCCCATCTCCCGACCCCCACCGCGACTTCCATTTTCTCCTCCAAATGCGTCATCCTTTCCCCTGAAAGCCTCCTCGCTCCCCCTCTCCAGACAAAACGCCACTGTCCCCTCCCCCGCTGCGTCGCCCTACGTTCCCCTCCTCCCACCAAATCCTCCGTCGCTATCAGACCCGGAGCCCCCCACCTCCGGCTAAATCCTCGCCTTCCCCCTCTCCCACCAAACCCCGTCCCCGGCAGGTCCACTGCCCGCCCTCCTCCCTGGAGTCTGACGCCTTTCTCCGCTCTTAATTTTTGGCCCAGGCCCCCCGCCCCCCGTCCTTTGTCTTAAATCCGTCCCTTTAAATCCATCCCCATCAAGGCCAGAGCTCTTGCTCCCTTCACCCTAAATATGTGCTCACCTTCTAAAGATTTAGCCTTGGCCCCCCCCAATTCTCCTTCCCACCCATTCGCCAAAACGTCCTGCCCCTTCCCCAAATCCGTTGCTTTTTCGCTCACCCCCAATATGCCCCTTCGTTCCTATTCTAGGTTCTCGCCTCCATGCCTTCACCCCCGAAAGAAACCCGTCTCTCCCCCATCGCCCTCCCCCGGCACCTCCAAAACTCCTCGCTCCTTCCACCCTCCCCCGAATCTGTCGCTCTGACCCCTTCGCCCCCTCTCCCACACCCTCAAACCTGTGCCCCTGCACCCCAAACCCTCCTGCCGTCCCCCGCT